ACACTCATTCAGGATTTGCCTAAACAATAGATCTGGACACCCATGCTGTCACTGGACAGATATGTGACTTTTTGCATTGTGTCCAGAGGAGGCCATATCTTGTATTAAATGTCTTGTATATACATATCGTGTTTGTCCATATGATCTATTTGAAACCCAAAAATTGAGTTTCTTTCTTTCTTTCTTTCTTTCTTTCTTTCTTTCTTTCTTTCTTTCTTTCTTTCTTTCTTTCAAACTAGTAAATGAATATATTTAAGTGAAAACCAATGAACGTGCTATTTTGCATGCTATTTCAATGAGGCACAAATGGAAAAAAAACTCTATCCTACAACTTAATGACTTTAAATGACCCATGTTTGCCGGCAGTATAATTATATAGTGTACACACTTTCATAGGAAATGACTCCTCAAAAAGTGTACACTTGTTTTGAACAACTGCTCTGTCAGAGAGTCAAGAAAAGAGGAAGACCAAATTGACAGCATAGTCAAACAAACTGTAGAGGCCTTTGAATTCAATGCCTCTTTCCTCTGCTGCACCGTCTTCCGACTCTAGGGTACTTTGAATACAACTTGCGCCTGCATAAAATCTCGTTTTAAGTTCCATTTCATGAGTGTTTCAACGGAAACTGACGTGTGAAGAATTGGCACACAAATCACTCAACGAATGGATACCTATCAGTATTGCAAAACTCGTCTTTTTCATAACATGAAAAAATATGCAAACACCTACTCTTACCATCTGGTGCATGTGCATGCATGATTCAAAAATTCCTCGTGAGTGAATCCAAAAATGTTATTCTGTGTGGCAATGGAAAACCAAGTACACAGAGGATCTTACAGGAAATACGGGAAAAGCAAAGGATTGGTTATAGGAAAGTAAAACAATCCTTAAACCATATGTGTTACAAATTTTTAAATATCCCCATGTATGGTTTTTTAATAATAATAATAATAATAATAATAACAATAACAATAACAATAATAATAATGCTCTTATCACTTTACATGGTGACAAGAAAGAGGGTTGGTTGCTTTGTTCCGATGAATAAGGAAAAAACAAACAGCAACGAAATACAGTCTGGAGGTGTATGTGACTGTAATTTGATTCCCAGTTACAGACTTTCTAGTCGGTGTCCTTGTATTCATTGAAATATGGTGTCGTCTTAAACAATGTTTCTCAACGTAGAAACAAAGTAGTTTTACACATTTTAAAGGAACAAGGCCACCTTGAAATGGAAGCATTTGAATTTGTCACTGTTTTGCCCATTTCCTGAAGTTGTGGCATGGTGCAGTTGATGACTGCCATGCAGATGTAGCTTCAACAATAATTCATGACATAACAGAATTCCATTGAACAGCTCCTGCTGATCAAAGACAGTTCTGAACCTGTGCAGACCTCGCACCCTTATTCTTTAAACTATCTAGGATTGTTTTTAGTCATCTCCAATTAGGACTTTGCATAACTGCACGGTATGAACTGATTGGTCATCATAGCAAAATTATCAACAGACATACCAATATGATTATGTAGTCATTCATTTCAAGTGAGAAAGCAATTGTCATTTCAACTCAAAGTACACACTGTACAAAGTAAATGTATCAGACTAAAAGTGATGTCTTTTTCTGGGAGTCAACAATGACCAACAAAGAAGATTATTTCAACGGAAATGTAGTATGACATGTAGTATGACATGTAGTATGACATGTAGTATGACAGTATGGCAAATAACCACATTAGTTGCCTTATTAATTTAATTTGAAAATGCAAAAAAAAGAAGAAGAAGAAGAAGAAGAAGAAGAAGAAGAAGAAAAAGACACCAACAGCATGAACATGTACATTTTAAATGAAAGTAGAAACTGTCCATTGAGGCTAAAGCTATTTCTGTTAATATGAGAGTGTCTGTGGACTGAATAATTTTTGAAGCAAGCCTCAAGTGGCCACTAGAGGAATTGCAGTTTTTGTCACTACACTGTTGGCTTGCCCAAAGTGTAGCATGCCCCTTGGACATACCTAATGTGATTATCATTTTCATTTCTGTGGATGTGAAATGCAAAAGAGTATGATAAGAAAACCAAGTGAAGTACTGTAACTGAAACAGTTAAGCATGCAAATGAAGAGAGATAAGAGGAGTATTTAACAGGTAAGATAACAGTACAGCTCTAGCTTTTTTAACAGCATTTTAAGATTACAAGCAAAGTAAAGTAAATATACAGTGCCTTTACTGAATATGCAATGTGAGAACATTATAAAATTGGAAAGCTGTCACTGACTGTATGCCTAAAATATGTTTTCCATCTTTAAACAAGAGCGTTTCTTCTTATTTTTGATCAGGCAGATTTTTCAGGTAACAGTGATATGGCTGAAGCTAGTCCATTTATCAGTTTCCACCCAGATCACTTAAAAGTTATAAAGAACCGACCAAAAAGTACTTTGTCATATCTGGTACTCTAAGAGAAAAATAATTACCCGAGGTAATTCTCAGAATGTGTAAGGTCAGTGAGTTCATCACGGTGCTCTGGAAGTGAACCGAAGTCGTCGAGGTTGTCCAATAACAGAGCTTGGAGCAAGAAAGTAGGGAAAGTCTGCTATTTGCCACGCTGTTTCCAACAAACAACACCTTGTTACATGAAAAACTCTTGCCCATGCCAATAGTTAGTTTCAAAACTCTTATTTTTTTCTTAATATTATGATTTGTTCTGTTTCTCAAAGCAGTAAAATAGTAAACATCCTTATCTTCACCCAGCTGCTTTAGCCTGCCAGTGACCTTATGCCAAGTTCTTAGTTAACTTTTGTGACACATGGACGCTGCCCATTTGCTCTGAATAGATAAAGCAGCAATTTAGTGACAGTTTGCAGGAGCACAGTGTGTGTTATACATAACTCAGTGTTTACATTCAGTGTTACTCCTCAATATGCAGTGTGAACTATATAAAATGTTGAATATATTTTTCGTCTTAGTGAAACAACAATGCATTTTAAATGTATTACATGTGTCTCCTCCTGCTGTTGTACTGCTGGCACAGTGACACATATTTGCAAAATAAACAGAAAATGGGATCTACTGAAAAGTCTTTCCTCCCTTCACTTTGTGAAATTGTCATCCAGGTCAAGGCTGAATGGAAAGTCCTGCAGAATGGTACACAGCTACTTCTGTGTATCCACACCCATTTTTTATTCATCCTGTGCACTATGGTGACAGTGCTTAGTGGGACAGATCTCATCATCTGCGTATCCATATTTGGTTATGAGCAGTATATATGATAGTATTGGATTCCAAGAGTCCACTGTCGCTGTGGCTAGTTTTCCTACTGAAGAGATTACTAACGGTGCCACTAGCATGGCTCTCTTTGAAGGCCTGAAAAGAGTGGCTTTCTAAGGTGGCACTTGGAAGTTTGCATTAGAGGCGTTGAATACGTATGTTTCTGTTGTTTGTGCTTTAAAACTAATAATAATAATAATAATAATAACAATAACAATAACAATAATAATAATGCTTTTGAAATTCAATGTTCAAATCCAAATTTAACAGATGTTTGAATGGAGTTTTGTCACATTGTGTCTGTAATTTTCCATTAAAGTTTCTGAGAAATTGCACTGCCCTTCTTACAACAACAACAACAACAGGTTGCAAGTTTCAACTTGTCTAGTATTAATAATCTTTCCTTGAACCCCATCCCAAACAAACAAACAAACAAAAAAACTCAAAACAATATTTGCAAGTTCCAGTTATGAATGAGTCTCATCTAAACGCTTGCTTTTTGCAACATATTTGCCATCATATCCAACTTTTCTCATGATGGCTATGTAATGTATAGTTGCACTGGCCAAAATCAAATCAATTTTTTAAAAATGACCATAAATCAGTTTCCCAGATCAGAGATTACATAGTGAGACTACAGTCTGGATTTAAGTCAGTCCTTCAATAAGGTTAGAGAAAAGAATCTGTCTTCACTGTCAGCTGAGAGTCTACAACAAAAATATCTCCAATATTTAAGTCCAATGTTTTTTGGCCCCTCCGTCCACTTCAACATCTTCTCTACACAATCCTTTTGGTCGTAACACAAAAAGGTGTTGAAAATTTAAAAAAAAAAAAAAAAAACACGTGTTATTTATCTATTTGTTAATGGCAGGTTAGCCTCAAAACAACAGTTACCAATAACAACCCTTCAATCACCCTAACCCATTTACCAATATGGATAAAGTATATGGAGCCATAACCTTATACATGGACTGGTTCTTATATAGAGCTTTTCTACTTGGAGCACTCAAAGTGCTTTTTAGAGTTTTTAGTTATTTGTTTTTTATAGTGTACATCAAGAGTCTGACGGAAACATACAGAATATAGGAAGACAATTATCAGTTCCTTATCAAAGCATAGGATTACAAAATAACAGAAACATCTTTTTATTCACAACAAAAAAACTCTGTCAGGCAAGTTAGTTTCGATTTAGATTTGAGCTTGACTTGTTTGTGATAACGTTTTTTTTTCTATTGTGAAAATAAAAAAATAAAATAAAATGAATAAATAAATAATAAAAATGTGGCTACACATTAAAAAGAGCTGCTGAATCTGTGTTACCACAAAAGGTGTTATCTCGTAGAGATCGTTTATTTCCACACGTGCACTTCTTCGCCTGTCCTCGGCCGCGTGTGGGGAAGTGGAGCTAATTCAAGAACGCGCTCGAAAATCTGAGCGCGTGCTCGTGAGAGGCGGATAAGACATAGACTAAATGGAGAGCTTGGCACTTTAATATCTATTAATGCTGCATGTGATGCTTGTAAACACCAACTTTTTTTTGGATGGCCCAACATAACCTTTAAAGGCATGCTGGTTGAAGTAACAATAACTCTAACAACAAACAAACAAAGGAAACAAAGTATAGCCTAATTTAGCAACAATTCCCAGATAGAACATGGAAAAATAGCTTAATTTAAACTATTATCATAAATATGATCATAACTACTAGCTAGTAAATGGCTATATTCATTTCCTGATGCTTTGCAAACGCGCAGTTTGCCTTCACAAAAAATCCGAGTGTGCTGCTGCACCCTGAAGGCACCATAGACCTCTCCTGTTGCTCAGAGAGGAGGCAAGCCGGTGATTTTCCACTGCTGCTGCTTCTCTGGTCCCCCAGTTTTAAGAGACAAAGGTCAGGAAGAGAAGCTTATAAATAGGCTTAAATATAGGCTCCCGACGCGTTCAGTCCTCAGTCGCTCTAACGGACTCAAGAGGTCACGGACAAGACGAAACGGACAAGGGACGGCGCTCAAAGGACATTAAAAGGACAAAATAACAGAGGAAAGCACATCAACATTGCAGGTAAAGACAAAATGCACCCTCGTTGCACACCTACAAAATATTTCACGGAGAGATGATGGTGTATCTTACATGCATTCTCTTATAGATTTTTTCTAAAATATCAAATTACGATTTTTGATGTTTTGACTTATTTCGATTTTGTGTCTGAATGGAAACCTTTCCTTTTAAACCCCGAGGAACAGAAAAAAGTTCTTGTCCATTTCTAAGTTAAATCCATCGCATGTGTTTCATTATTATTGCTGGTTTTACTGATGGCAGTGTATACACGAGATGTCCGGGTGAAGATCTGTGAGGAAGCTGTGAGGTAGATTTGGGTGAAGGCTGTTCTCCCCTCGTCGGTGAGCGAGCGTTTAGGAAGGATCACTGGTGGACTTGTGTTACCCAGATGGCTACAGTGTCATTTTGTATTATTGGAATATGTACAATTATCTGTTTCATCAGTAGCTTTGTCATCTGTGAGATGTAGCGGATTCACACATGTCTACGTCAGATGCTTTTATTTGAGAGGATCTTATTAATTTCTACCATTTGCTTGCTGTATTTATTTATTTATTTATTTTAAATCGTCTTTGTTTAGGATGGCGAGCAGCGGATTTAGTTCTGTTATCTGATTATTTGCTTTTACAGCCTACGCGAGTCTTACAGTCTTTGTCTCTCTTTTTTATATACATATATGTCGCTTTATTCTTAGGTCCATGGATATCCACATTATTTAAACCAAATGAGAAGTTATATTTTTGGTCATTTAGGTTTATTATATATAGACTTTGTTTCGAATAATTGCGTTGCTGAACTAAAAAAGAAAGGGGAAGTGAGACGAGAAGGCGGAGATGCTCGTTTGTCGCTCTGAAAGCATCACACGCTGCTTCCCCTTAAAACGTCTCTCTCTCTCTCGTCCTCTCTCGTCCTTTTTCTTTCTTTTCTCCTTCGCTTAATTTTGTCTCCGTAACTGCACTATTTGTGACAATGAACGGGGGACATTTTACCGTCTCCAGTAACAAGTGCATGTGCAGCGATCATTAGCTTCCTATTGCTATTTAATTGTTAGAGTATTGAGAAATTACGTTTTTCGTCTGTATACGTTAATCTTACGCGCTTCGTTCGGTCTCACATTTATTCACAAGGGGTCGCTACAGTGGATTGCTCAATACCGGGGACCTTGTGTTAGGTGAATGGGTAAATCACTACACTACAGGGCTCTTAGACGTCTTACAAAGGTTGGAAGAGAATAAAAAGATGATTACTGGTAGCCTCAGTGTGCCTTGGAGGGGTTTGGTTCTGATAACAAGTAGTTATTTCCTTTTTGGGTTGGTTTCAGAGTTGGAAATGTACCCAGGATTTTTAACTCAGGAAGATGATAAAACCTGGAATGGAATATCTTTCAGAAAGAGACCTTTACAAAGGGTTTAGGAAACCGAATGGAGAGGGGAAAAAATCTTATCTATGAAGTTATTTATACTATTTGAGTTTGAAATTGGATATTCAGCCTTGACAGAATTGATTAACAGTTGATAAACAGTGTGACATCTCCCACACAGACCATAGATTTCAGTGCAAGGTTAGATTAATAGTGTTTTCTTTTTTTAATCATATATAAGTGTCAGTTACCAGTTCTTGTTAACTTTTAACTATATTCGGGGAGCAGTTTTCTGTGTTTTAGAGCCCAATGACACTGAGTGGAAAATATACTGGTATAGGGCTAGTGTTAGGATTTGACAGAGACATTTCTGTGTGTATTTTCTCTGCTAGTGGCCTTGAGTTTAATCTAATCTTGACTGATGTAGGCAAAAATCTCATATAACTGACGTCTGCTGGCAAGTGACTAATTTCAAGGGGCTGTAAAAATTTATGAAAATCAAGAAGTGTTCAGTGATTCAGTCTATCAGAATCATATACCCTCATTCTCATGGCTTTTTATGAAAGCTGGCAAACTTTTCAGTCAGTTACATGTTTGATGCTGTCATCGGTATCATGTGGGATGAGGGACAGTGGAGCTTTGAACAATGTCAGGAGTGATGTTAATACGGTGGGTTGGAGTGATAAAGAACGAGAGTGCACATAATGAGCTTAAAATGCCTGCAAAAGACCCCTACACATGTGACAGTTTATGGGTCTTAACAGACTTAAAAGGCACGTGAGTTTGAGTGCTGAGTTTGATGTGTGAAACTGTCGAATAGCACTGGAAGCTCAGGATAATGTCAGAGCTAGCTGGTTAGCAGGGACTGATCTTTTCAAATTAAGAGAGGTGATGTTTCTGTAGTGAAGTGATTTTGAATTGTGTTGTCCTCTTGGATGTAAAAAAAAAAAGAAAAGTAAATGACTAATAAAAAAATATCTGTGTGTGGGGAAACACTGTACCGTGTCCAGAGATGCACTTCTTAGATTGTACATCACGCTTGTCTTTGTCTTTTATATTTGTGTTTTAATATCTAATCTGTAAAGTATATTTCAATTTTAATATGTTTGTTGTATTGTAAATAATAGTCATTTATGTAAGTGAAAATGTAGTGGGAATTTGTTGTTCCCTTGTCTGACAAACTACTGCTGAAAGCTGACGTGTCAACTGTAGGCTGTTGCTGTTAAATGATTTATTAAGTCAGTAATCTGAGGGTAGTGGAGCGTGCGTGTGTGCGTGCGTGCATGTGTGCGTGCATTCACGCCTGCGTGTGCATTCATGCGTGCATGTGTTTGTGTGCATTCACGCGTGCGTGTGTTTGTGTGCATTCACGTATGTGTGTGTTTGTGTGCATTCACGTATGTGTGCATGCATGTGCATATTAGTAAAATCTTAGTCATGGTGACAACAGCACTTTTTACAGATTAAATCTGAGAAAGGTGGTGCAAACCTATACTGACGTGGAGGATGAAAACATAAACTGTTGCATTGCATGTGCTGATATCAAACATTTATGATCAGGTGGCCTTGACATCAGACATGCCGCACTAAATATTAACCAACTTGAACCGGTAAGCAACATAAATTCACACCATTATGTTAGTTCACTATGAGCTCATTGCTGTTGGAGCTGCCCCATTAATCTTATATGACTGTATAAATGTGTTGAGGTCTCAGTTTGAACATTTATTTAAAAAGCATTGACAGCTTTGAAAGATCTTATTTATCTTGGCTATTGAAGGTGAAAACAACAACGATAGTGATTAACACCTTATATATTTGTATATCAGGCTGATGAAAATTGCATATGTGCATGCGTTATCATGGTGATTGACTTTAATACATTTCATGCAAGATAACTGACAGAAGATAAAAGATCAGCATCACCTTGTGGCTAACAAACCAGTTTACCAGGAAATGTAGAAATTTTGGATTCTTTTAAGATCCCCAAAGAAATGATTAATCAAAACAAGACACTGAGAAAATGTTTTTGCACAATATATTCCAGAGAACTTGAACTCAATACTTCTGTAGACTTGATGAATATGGTGGAAGTTGCAAAAAAACCCTCAAGACAAGGGAGATAAGCTAGGGTTTATTCGCTTCTTGTGGTGGAGGGACCGTATCAATAATTAAACTCCTGTGAATACTATAATGAGTAAAATAGAGCTTCAAGTGCTATCCTTCAGTCTCCTAGTAGACAAACCTATGGTATCAATTTGAAACTCCTACGTCGCCTTATTTTCAAGTTATTGCATTTACAAACTTGGGTGTCCACAGCGCCAGTCTGTTGAGGTGACAACAATACCCCATTGGCCTTTTACAGCTGAGGGGTAAAAATGAAAACAACGAATTTACAATGTATCTGCTGGACATGCAATTTTGAATCTGTGAACCGAAACGTTTATGACGAAAGGTTCGGTTAAAACCGTGCATTATTCTTTCATAATAAACCTCAGCTTATCAGGAATCTCTTAAAAACCAAAATATGACCAAAGTTTTGGGCAAAACGTTGAAATTACAGAGACACTAAAACAAGCCAAAATCTTTGAAGTTCTTGAATGTTTAATTGTTAGATACATATTTGCAGTATGTGAATAATTGAAGCTCAGCTCCACTGACCTGTTATAGTTTGCAGAACTAGAGTGGAAAAAAAATGTTAGCAGAACCGACAGTGAGTGTTAACTGTAGCTTGATAAGCCTTTTGGTAACTTTTGATAACTTTCTGTTGCCTCACATGCTCATACTTCTTGTGATTCCTGGTGTTCAAAGAAAAGCCTTTAGTCTCTTTTTTGGTCCATCAGCCCAACATCTATTTTTGTATTTGTCTGCATGTGACTCTCACATGCCGTTACCTTCTGTAGCATGATTAATTTTTAGTAACAAATGTGTACACGGACCTCACTGTTTCTTTTTGTCTTCATGCCATTGTGTTTTCAGCTTTCCCCATCCAAGTTAATCTTTAACAGCTTTCAGTCACTCTTTCCTTTGTCCCTATGTTCCACCTATTTCTCACTCTTTTTTTTACTCATATTCACTCTCTGTGTTTCGGTTTCTTTTCCTGTCTTTCTTTTCCAAGTTTTGTATGATCATTTCTATTTGTCTGAAATGAAAATGAGAAAAGAGCATCGAGAAGTGTCTGTACTTATGCAAAGTGAGGTAGCATTAATGAGGGAAAATTGTAAATAAACAAGAGTGTCTAAAGGAGTGCCTTGTAGAAAATAACCATAGTAAAATTAAGAGGGAAGGTAGCTATTGGAGGGAAACAACAGAAAATTTGCAAACAAGGACAAGCTGATTTAAAAAGTGACCCAGGAGGAAAAGGGTGAGTGATTACAAGAAAAGGGGGTGGGGGCAGCAGAAGCAAGCTGTGGAAATAAAGTGTGGGGGTGGGGGTAAAGGGTCGAGACTTCTGAAAGGCCCTGTGGGGGGTTGAAACATGAAGGATGTATAATGAAGAAAATGTAGAAAAACTAAAAGCAAAGGAGGTCAACCAAGATGATGAGAAAATGGGAATTGGAAAGGCAGAGGACAGCTGGTTTAGTGTTGCATCTCACTGTGTTTGGAAGACTGCTGTTGATTATTTTGTTACTGAAACGTCCAATCTTATCTCTAGTCTTTGGTAAAATATTTGAATCTGTCATCCTTAAGCCCTAAATCCAATAATTCTATTCATTGCTCATAAGCTAATAGGCTGAATAGCCTAAATAGCTCATTTGAAATGAATGAAATATCTAATATTGACATGTTTGTTAAAAGCACAATGTGATGAGCGTAAAAGAAGACTTTAACAGAAGACAAAATATGGGCGAGGAAAAAAGAAAACAAATATGCAGGGGATGAGTAAAAGAAATGTGAGGCAAAAAAAGAGGAGAGTGGATGTAACGGGCAGCTGCAGCCAGCCCAGTGGAAATGTACATGGTCTCAAAATAGGAGAGTGTGTTATGTAAGTACTTTGGGACTGTAGTAAATATGTGAAGTCACTGAATGCATATCCAGAGTCTGGGTCCAGTGAGGTCCACCCTCACACACAATGGTTCTCTGTTGTGCACAAAACTTTTGGCCTGAACTTTAAATCATCCCACAATTCATAGTGGTTTCCAAGGCCAGTCTAACTCCGTGGGAGTCATGTTGTAGGAAATCGTGGAATAGCAACATTCCCGTGAACAGATTGGGTTCAGTCTCTTTGAAATGATGCCTTTTTCTTGGGATGAACCACCTGAGCAGCTAAATCTACAGCTACACATGGTCACCACTCAATTACTTCTGTTTTCCACCACTTATCTGGGTCCAAGTCTGTAGTGAAAGCAGACTACACAAGATAGATGATGTGGCAGAGAGGTAAAGCTATCTCTTCCTGTGAAGTCCTGAAGCACTCCCAGGGCAGACTGAGTACACATCACTTCAGAGTGTTCTCGGTCAGCCCCAGGATTTAAACGCAGTTAATGTGCCTAGAAGATCTAATCTTAGAAGCGCCCAGGAAACATTCTCATCAGATGCTGTTTTCCAGTGATGTTCAAGACGATTCATTGCAGTATGCTGAATCACTAGAATCAGTTAGTTCAAAAGAATTGTTCAACAAATCGTTCAGCTTTGACCGAATTGTACTCACTGGAATTCAGCACAGTAACATTTCTAGTTAAAGGAGCTAGTGCTAGCGATCATAACGGACAAGCTAAATGCTATTCATAATTCTTGAGATTTTAATGATTTCCTAGCTGAAAATTGGGGAGTAGTACTAATATAACTGTCAAGTCTTTATTTTTAAAAATTATTTTAAGCTACTCTGCAATTCCCTCCAAAACATGAGAGGTGATTCTGGCTGTTTCAGCAACTGACTGTCACTGCGTCACTTTACATTGACTGTAAAGTACTTAAAGTTACAAATCATTAAACATAGGCCATTCCCCTGCAGCAAAACGATGAATTACTTTTGCTCCTCTACACGCTTTCCTAATACAAAGAAGTTTGTTCACTGGCCCTGCTGGGAACTTGAAGGTATGTGTTTGTCTTCGTATGGCTTTGTAAGTTTAACAACATGATGAATTGAATCAGAAAACAATGGCCTTCCTGTCAGTGTATTCCTGTGCACAAATGACTTAAAACACTTGGCGAGCAAGTTATTCCTACATGTTCACCAGCACCTGACTGGGGACAAAAAAGGTCATTTCAGGATATAATTCTGTTCACTTCACAAGTTAAACTCCTTGCACAAAGCTCAATAGATTGTACTACATATATGCTATGTACAATGTCTTAGGCCGTCCATTATACTTTACACTTCCACAAGACTGTTAGGGCCCCCAAAAGCTTAATCATCAAATCGTCAAAGTACCTATGTACCTGCCAATTTTTGGGAACTTTAGAATACTTCAAATGCACCTATGCCACTTTTCCTTGCTATTTAGCATGTTGTTGATACTAGAAGTGTCCGATTTGTCAAACTGTTTTATTACTGGATGATTCCCAACTACTACACTAGTAATTTCCAAAAGAACTGGTAGTACACAGTACATCCCAGCTAAACATTTTAATCTTGTTGTGCTTTTCTTTTTATGTATTTGATTTAACTTCACCCTAGCTATTTTAGGCAAATGCTTCACTCCCTGAGTCAGTTTATTCAGCTTATTGCATTAATTCCTGTGATGTTGCAACACAACAGAGCACATTGCAGTATCACGTGAATTCCTCTTTTGTCTACTAGCTGGTTTCCTTTTCAATTTAATATCTTAATCCAAATATATACAGGTATAATGTCACATATCTAGTGCTGTTAGGGGTCCTTTGTCTCTCCTAGCAGAAAGTCACTCACACAATATATGCACAAAAAGCCAGTTCTCTCCTCCTAGCATTACTCATTAACTTACTATAGGAAGTTATTCATGAAGATAAATATATGTGTCACTAACTGTGAAATCATTAACTTGTTTGAAATGAGAGATGGTATTGTACAGGGCTGTTTGTACTTAGTCAACCAAATATTGGCAGAAAAAGCTAGTATTTAGGCATGAACAGCTTTTTTCCCCCCCAATTCTACCTTGGTTGAAGATATCTGCTGATGCCAAACACCAATACACTAGTCTTAAATTAACAAGAGGCTAGGAATGATCCATTATGTGCCTGATTTAATCATTGATTTACTAACTTATTTCCATTAGTTAGTTTGTGTTCATTATAAGATTTGTAGGCTACTGCTTAATGCTGCTATTAAAAAACACAGTAGTTTCTCCTTTTGTTTCAGTGTGAGTGTGCCTCCCTTTAGTTCTAGTCACACACACAAATAATCTTAGGTTTCTCTTCAGACTTCATAGCTTTTGCGGCTTAGCGATCTGTAAGCCGCTCAGATAACGGATAACTCTCTTGCTGGGGTAAATTTTTACCCACCTTAGTGTACATCAATACCTTACAAGCATTCACCCATCAATGCAGTTGGTCACAGGATAATCAAAAACAGTGTTTCATACCTGCTGGCTGCTGCCAGCATGCCAGCAACATCTCATGAAGGAGTGGTGGCCATCCTTAACCAAAATGCTCATTTTTAACTAGTAACAACCCCACCCCACCCCCAATCTCTCCAAACAACGATATATTATATGAAAACAAATAATTTATTTATTTTTTTTATATCAAAACTTAGAATTTCAGTTTCAAATCACTTTTTCAAATGAATAAAACATTTGACCCTGATTTAGCTTCATAGACAGGTGAGATGAAATGATATCAGTGACGCTGGCATCAACACCTTATTCTGCAATAAAAGCCTTTAAAGAAATGTTACACTGAACATGACAACCGTTCATGTCCAGTCACTTGACCACAGTTTGTGTCCAATTTAAAAACAAATTCAAACAAAAAAACTGTAGGTGCAACTAAAGTGAAATACTTCCATGCTGTATCTGATTCAAACATAAGAATCATGCATTCTGACTAACATTCCTGGGTCTGGTAGAAGCAAGGGAGAAAAAACCCAACAACTTTAATTTAAATATCCAGGTAAATATAAACTGGAAACAAAGCCTGTATCTGCAGATAGCCACTGAAAAGTAGTCTTTCCCTCAGTTTTACCTTCTGTAAATATCATCCTGAAAGACACAATAAGATTGAAAGATGAAGACAAAGAACTAGAGGGTGCAGCAACCTAGCACATGGAAAGAGAGGGATGTGGCATTTTCCACAGTGACAGACATCTGCTGACTACTAAGTATGTCAGTCTCTTCCACGACTGTCTTTGTGTCCCTCATTGTCATTGCTGAATGGAAATTTACAGCTACAGTTGTCATCGTAACCCTTATAATGTTCAGCCAATCACAGCGCCATATTAAATAGTTTCAATGAGGAAGTGCCGAAGAAGGAAGACTAGTTTTACGGTTTCATCTTAAACGTGTTACCATATATTCAAATCTTTTTATCTTGACTCTGATCAGTTTTAGCTTTCATTTGAACAAAATGCATTCAAATTGAACTGTTTATTTTTACCAGCTTTCTTTTTCATGTGCTATTTAGTAAGGATTAGGCAACAAAACCTCTCGGTGAGCATTCAAAAAAAAAAAAAAGATATACAGTTCTTTTTGGGGTGTTTGTTTGTTTGTTTGTTTTTTTGTCAGTAATCAGTTTCATGTATCCAACAGATACTTTTTTATGCACTTATTTACATGACCACAGGAGGTCTCCTAAATATTCTTGGTCATTTTCTTCTTAGAACTGACAAAAATGGAGGATGCCTAACCTGATGGTTTATGAGTGGGTGCATAACCTGCTGGTAATGCCTGTGGGAGTGATTACAACTGATAATAGCCATTCAGTGGGATGGTTTGTGAAGCAGATGATAATTTTACAACTTCCTGAATCTTAAGCAACTGTTAAGCAGTTTTCCTGCCTCAGCTAATGTGTTTAGTCTCACAGTTCTTTGTCTCCAGTTCAGTCCCTTGCCACAACTGAAAAACTCAGTCTCAATCGTTCAGTAAAAATGCAGTGCATTCATGAAAGAAGGCACCAAAAAAAATATATATATATTTTAATTATTATACATTAATAATATTTTTGTTTTTGTTTTTCATGAATGCAGCTCTGACTTGATCTCTTCTTTGTCTTCTGTTTCAATAGAATGGCTCAAAAAGAGAAACTTCAGTGTCTGAAAGACTTCCATAAGGACACTCTGAAACCATCTCCCGGTAAGAGTCCTGGCACGCGGCCTGAAGATGAAGCAGAGGGCAAGCACCCCCAGCGAGAGAAGTGGGCCAGCAAGCTGGACTTTGTTCTGTCTGTTGCTGGGGGTTTTGTTGGTTTAGGGAACGTCTGGCGTTTCCCATACCTCTGCTATAAAAATGGTGGAGGTAAGGCTTTCAAATGCTGCAACAATTTATGTCAACTCATGGGGGTCATATTTTTAGGTTAATGGTTTCCCTTGTGTTCCCCATCTAGGTGCATTTCTCATCCCCTACTTCATTTTCCTGTTTGGTGGAGGTCTGCCAGTCTTCTTCCTGGAGGTCGCCCTGGGTCAGTTCACCTCTGAGGGTGGCATTACCTGCTGGGAGAAGCTCTGTCCCATCTTTACTGGTATGTAGTCCCTAATTAGATCCTCCCTGCTCAAATAATGAGCTTTTTCTTAGGAATCATATTATAGGTGCCCACGATATCAGTTCTAAAATAAAGAAACTGGAGATTATGGTGGTGGTTAGATGGAGTATTCACCCTAATTAACTCTGTCTCGGGTGTAACTTGTCTCATGAGGACTTTCCTCAAGGAAACCCATTACTTACTGCTGTTGAATCAGTAATTTCAGACACATCACCATAACTATTTCATTGAAATCTTGGGTATTATAATGATCATAAAATTCCAGTTATTGACTTAGAAAAACTTTCTTTCCATACACCTGCACCTGCACTTGTACCTGTGACTTCAGCTTCACTTACTTCCCCTTCTTTTGATAGCCCGCCAATTTGACTGAGTGCAGAGTACTTTCCATATCCAATCCGAGACTTTGAATTTTTCCAGACCTCTGTTTTTTCCACTGAGAAATGGCTGTGTAACATAAGGCTGAGTCACACCAGGTTTTCATCCAATCAGGCTGCTGAGACTTTACCCTGCAGCCGTTACCAGGCAGCCAAGCCTGCACTGGTACACCAACATACTGAGGACTCTATTGTGCTTTAACCTTCTCTGGCTCACACCTGCCAAGAGGCATTTCTTCAGTGTACTCTGACAGGTCCTCTGTAGTTATTTTCTTCCACTTTACTGAGCTCAAGTCTTTTCTTTTTCTTCTTCTTTTTTAATTCTAACGTCTTCTTTCTCCTCCTGTTAGTAAATGTCTTATATATTATTTTTCCCTCCTGTCCTTCTGCCCTGGGCATCTCCACTTCCCCTTCTTCATTTCATTCACTGTTCTTCTCACCTCCCCCTCTCCTCCTGTTCACTACCAGCCAAATAAGGTTAATGTATTCCTCCCTGTCTGTTCAATTCTGAATAGTCATTTTTTTGTAATATTTATACTGCTCCATCTTCAGCAATTGCACATTAACAGTCATTATTTCTGAAATGCATTCGTGGATTTAGTTCAGAGCTATAAACACATTCATTTCTTTCTTATAATCTTAATTATTTACTTGTCCTGCTATTCTTGCTTTCACATAAATACACAATCTTTCTTCTTTTCAGACACATTATCCTCTTGCAGTCTTGTACATGGATATCAAAGACAGACACACACACACACACAATCTCTCAAGACAGTGTACAGAGTGTCCTGAATCACACGTTGTTATGGCAACAGCGCAGCAACACATCAGAGAGATGATGAGAGAGAGAGGGAAAAAAGCAGAGCACAGATCTGAGGACCAGACAGATGGATTGACAAAAAACAGGAAAAGGTGGAGAGGGATTTAACAGAGGAGAGAGGTTTGAATGGAGAAGAGATGATGAGAGTGAGGGAATTAGAGGAAGACGGGGGGGAAACAAAGCATGGTAAAAGCAAAAGACAAAATAGAGGATATGAGTGAAACAGAAGCGAAAGGTCTATACTACAAGACTTAGAAAAAATAAAAAGAACATTATAAACAAGGGGAGAAAATCCAAGCAAAAAATTATCAAATATAATATGGACTTACTGGTATTTGTTGTTGCAATATATTATGTTGTGGGTTTAAAGTGAAATGTGATGTGATTAGCTTGGATTCAGAAATTTGAACTGTTGATGGCATTTTTTGGCTTTAAGGCCAAAGAGAGGCCAATAAAAACAGAGCAGATAGTATTAGACAGTATTGGACAGTATTAGAAAGGAATAGAAAAACAGCAAGAACTATAGACTGCATCTCGCACTCTTACACAAATAAATTACTGCTTCTGTGTAAACTGAAAGTTATGAGGGCTTGAAGAATAAAACTGTCATTGAGTTGTTGTGGCTAAACAGAACATGAACACAATGTCAGTGAGGGTAAACAAAATTACAACTTGGCCTTATTTGATTTGAAACAAAGCTTGGTAAAACACATGGGTGGCAACGTTGTGATATGTTATTCATAAAATGAAGTTCACAACACCAACACACACACACACACACACACACACACACGCGCACACAGAAGGCCAGTGACGTTGAAGGACATTAATTTGTATGAATGGCCTCAGTCGGCTGTGTTTACAAAAGCAATACAAAGCTTTTTCTGATATACTTACGAGGACCGTCGGTGACCTCTAAACTAAAATCTAATCCATGTCCAAATCTTGGTCCAAATCCCAGTTTCAACATCTGTTCTCATCTCAAGCAAGGGTTGGGGTTTTTCTTCCCTTCATATCCTTGTGTAGTGCATAAGAGCACACAGGAGTGCACACACAACTCATGTGTTTACCACCAGCTTATTCAAGTCATTCAAGGCCAGTACTGATGCAATGAATCTTAGCTGATATTAAACATGTTAGATGCACTATAATTAAAACTGAAGGTTAAAAAAGAAATAAATGATTGCTTTAGACCTTGTATTGGGTAAATGTTGTCCTGTACTTGTGATATCATTTTATAAGGACTAGCTATTTTGTAAAAAATGGATCTGATACTGCTGACTTTTCTGCAGATGTACAAATCTTGCAGTTTGCACTGTAAATTCTGTTAAGCGCATGTAACACTTAGTGCACAAAACCATTAAAAACAGGAAGTATCACTGAGACTCAAACTTATGAGGATGCAATGACTGGCTTGTAGAAATCTTTTTATCTAGTGAAATCCAAGTTTGCAATTTTCAGTTCTATCTTCTTTTTTTTTTTTTTTTTTTTTTTTTACATTTTAAAACTATTTTTAAAAGCGTGTATCATATATACAACCACTGCCATCTTGTGCTTTACACAAATTTCCCATAGAGTTTTGCTTAGGATTCAAATCTTTGTTTTGTTTTTTTTCTCTCCTTCTTTTGAACATCTCTGCCACTGGTCTCGTCGTCTTTTGTGGCCAATCAAACATCAGCATTAAACCTCTTCCTCTTATACAAGAAAACTGTGTGTTGAAAATTGTGGGGCTTTGGAAACAGTCACTAAAATATCATGTCTTATATAAGTTGACGTGCCAGAAAATGGCAATATTGAAATTGTTGTATATTATTTCAGAGAAAAGTAATAGTATAACTAATAATTATTAATAGTGATTTAATAGTTTGATGACCCGCTTCTTGTTTAATCCCCTGAACCGCTCTATTCTCTCCAGGCATTGGTTATGCTTCCATTGTGATTGTGTCCCTGCTGAATATCTACTACATTGTCATCCTGGCCTGGGGCCTCTACTACCTGTTCCAGGTAGGTTTGAAGGGGGGAAAGACAGCTGTTGAATATTCCATTTCATTTTCCACTTGTTTCAGGCATGTATTATTTACAATGGAGATAGGTGAGGAATTTACATCCGGGTAGTGCAATCTTTGATTCTTGTTAATTTAACTACCAGCTAACTGCCATGCAAGTTTTGTCTAAACTTACATTTTTCAGGGGACACATTCAACAATAGCTGCATAAAGAAGTGACTAGCCTGCTACCAGAACATGAATATAGTAATTATTATTAATAATAGTAATAATGCAGTTGTCATCATTTATCTTTTTTTTTTAAATTATTATTATATCCCAGTGTTTTCAGCCTGAGCTGCCCTGGGCCAAGTGCAATCAGCCCTGGAACACTGATCATTGCATTGAGGACACCTACCGCAAGAACAAAACCCTCTGGGTGGCTGCCAACGCCTCCAACTTCACCTCCCCCGTCACCGAGTTCTGGGAGTAAGTTACATAAAACCACACACACCTGCACACTTGCATAACCACAAACAATTGTTCATTCTTTGTCATGTAAAAGTTCAGTCAAGGTGAGGTAGAAAGTCGGCAATGAATCCTGCAGCTTGCAGACACACACCTACAGAGGATTATTTATTTATTTATTTACCCATTTATTTATTTATTGTTACAGGCATAATGTACTCGGTATCTCCAGTGGTATAGACGAGATCGGCCCAATTAAATGGGACCTGGCCCTGTGTTTACTGCTTGTGTGGGTCATCTGCTTCTTCTGCATCTGGAAGGGCGTAAAATCCACTGGAAAGGTAAATATCCTGTAGTGTCTCGTGTTCATTGCTTCGTCACTTCTTTATTCCTCTTAGAATACAGGGACCTGGTTTTTACAGGACATTAATTTCAGCTAACATCCAAGACATGGTCGTGCTTATCTGATTTTTATTTCTCGCCTTTGTGGTCTGACCAGGAGAACAATTTGCTATGTTTACATTTCCTTGTGTAAATACAAAAATAAGATCATAGGTTTTCAAACTAAACAAAGGCAAATATGGGTGACATAATTCATGTTTTAAATGTTACAATATTACTATTTAATACACTACCGTGTGCAGAATTTAGTCAATGGTGACTAAAAGAGGACAAAGTTGTAACACAATTTCTTGTTGCTTGACAAATCACTACGGATTTTTGTCTGATAAATTGATATTGGGTGCTTCCATGCATCAAGAAATTACCTAAGAATTTGTAGATTGCAATTGTTTTATTACTAAATATAATATCTACAGTGAAGAGCCACTAGTGTTATAATGTGTATGCCCCTGCTTGTGCTACAACAATGTCTCTGGCCTGTTGAGACACAAGTTCTCCTGTTCTTTACAGGTACTGAGACATTTGCAGCAAATCTGTAGAGCGTGAGGGGGGTTTCATATGTTACACTTCATTTCCTAGTATGCTACACAGATGCCTGGTCAAAGGAAGGTCTAAGAAGTTTGGACAACAAGTCAATGCCATGAGCATTTTGGCATTTTGCCCAAACCCTTCTTGAACTCTTGTTGCTGAGATGCTTTGACCCTGTTGTCTAGACATCTTAATTTGGCCCTTGTCACAGCTGCTGAAATTTTATGCTTGCCAGTTTTCCCAATTCCAACATCAATTTAAAAAAATGACAGTTCACTTCCAGCCTAATATATCCTTGACAAGTGAAAACTGTCTGTTTTATAAATTGGTATTTTCTCTACATTTTTCTATAGTATTGCAGGATAAATGTAATCTTGGGTATTTTTCAATATAGGGAATATTTCAGACCACGTTGAATTGCTGCTGCAGTAACAGCAGCAACAGCTTGCTCCAAGACCAAAGGCAATCAATCCCAGACCACTCTTTTTATAGCCCTAACACACTTTATTGATTGCGCTGACCTGATTGATACTTTCTAGTTGATCCAAGTTGTAATTCTTGTATTATTGTCACTCCTGCAAGGCCAAATGTGGTCACAGTTTTCCACATAAGAGATACTGGTACACCGCTATTGATTTAACCCCTTAGCAGTCCAATTAGTCCCCTAAACCATCCAATGTCCCGTGGGCGGTACGTCCGACTGCTAACAGGTTAACGGACCACCTGTGGTCTGTTGTTGTCCAAAATATTCCCAAGTTCACACACTGATCAAATCCATTATTTGTAATAAAGCCAGAGTATCAGCTAGCTGGCAAAATAAAACTACTGTGGATGGAGATTTGATAAGTTAATATATTGGCAGTAAAATAATTCAAACTGGATCATTTAGAGTTTGTCTCCAAAATGTGTGACCTTGCTCTTCTGTACCTGTGGTCTCCCCTTATAGGTGGTCTATATCACAGCCACGTTCCCTTTCGTCATGCTCATTGTGCTTTTGATCCGTGGTGTGACGCTGCCAGGTGCTACTGCAGGCATCAAATTCTACCTGTATCCTGACCTCACTCGCCTGAAGGACCCAGAGGTAGGTGTTAACCTGAGGTGCATGAGCAAGAAAACACTGTTATAGCTTTCCTTCACTAGTTTGACCACATACCTGTCCGGCTGTTCATACAGAAAAGAACCAAATTTAAATTCCAAAATTGTTGAATTCATAAAAATGGAACATGTGGTTTACAAGGAAATAAGATCGCAATAATATAATTGCTGTTGTCCTTTTTTTGGTTGAATGGCAACAAAACACATGCCTGCACACTGATTTGTAAAATGTGGCAAAAGAAAAGCCAAAAAAGGTTTTTCATAAACAACCAGAAACACAGTTTTATCCCACTTGCTTCGCTGTACAAAATCCCCTTAAATTCCCCCCCCATCAGCAAGCCTCAGCCTTTTTGTCCCCACTTCCTTCTTGGTAGGTGTGGATTGATGCTGGCACCCAGATTTTCTTCTCCTATGCCATCTGTTTGGGTGCCATGACGTCCTTGGGGAGCTACAACAAGTACAAATACAACTGCTACAGGTGAGCCATTAGTTTTCAGTGAGGGGGTTAGCGATAGGGGAGAGAGGGGGGGGCTAAAGGGATCCTTGTGTGTTCATTAACAAATCCTCCTCATGACATATGTGTGACATAGGGACTGTTTGCTGCTGGGAGCCCTCAACAGTGGTACCAGTTTTGTGTCTGGCTTCGCAATATTTTCCGTCCTGGGCTTCATGGCACAAGAGCAAGGGGTGGACATTGCTGATGTGGCAGAGTCAGGTACGAGGGTTCTGTAAAGGCGGCAGTGATGGTGGGCGCTGCTTCCTGGTTAACAAATAAAACAATAGCAATTATGAAGAAAAACAGCAACGAAACCTGAGTGAGAATTCGACTACACGTCCAGTTTCGAAATGAGTTGAAATTTGGAATTGAATGGATTCGCTGATTGATCTTAAATGACGGCATCAGAATATAAAAGCTTCCGAAATCAAACACTCCTTGACAAAAAGCAGAAATATTGACTTGATTTGTTAGCGCTCATTCGAACGAAACAAGTTGGGGCTGAGATGCATTTGAAACTCGATTGTGCTTTTTTAGGCACGCGTTGAAAACTGTAGCGGAGTGCACTTAGAATTAGCTGTGTCATATTGTACATGGATCTTGTGCCAACGTGATGTAGTTCTGAATTGTTCCTTTTGTGTACACGAGAGATTCCTGCCACCATTATTGTGGTTCCTTTTTTTGCGTGACATCGGCATATGTGGTTCTTGATTCTTTCTATTATTTATTTGTTGTTTTTAATCATGGTAGCTAGAGCCAGCGCCTTTATCTGTTTGGGTTTCTTTTCCTCTCCAATCATGTTGTCCATGTAAGACATGATTTTGTTTTGAATGCATGACTATCAGTATACTTTAGGTAAAAGAAAAAGAGTAGTTGTTTTCACGGCATCGTGAGATTGAGATATTTTGGAAAATGGCTTTGAGGGAATTGTAAGTGTCGACATCTTTTCAGCGTAGGAAGTGTAGTTTTCAGACAGAATCACAGGATTTAAGTTAAAAGCAGATGTGCAAAGGTATAAGTCACCCTCAAATGTGTTGGCACATGAAGCTTTGTCAGATGAGTCACAAACTTGAAATCTATACTAATATTTGTTTTTTCTGGTATATCATCATCAAATGCTCTGATCTTCATCTCTGCCCCATGATCGACCAAGAAAAAAACCCAAAATGTAGCTTTCAGTCTGCTAATGTCAAAAAAAGAGAAACTGTCCTTGCTGCCAGCCCACTTTATATACACTTAGAGTGGCAACGTATTGGTGGGGTGTGCAGAACTGTCAGAGATCAGTGTTGTTTGGTGAGTGGGCTGATGCTCCACAGGGAACTAGAATAGAAGTGTTGGTCAGAGGAATTGAGTCGAGCACCCTGCATATCATGGTTATCAGCTTGGTTTTCATGCCTTAGAAAGTTTGTCCACGTTTGTGGGTCTATGAACACGGAAGGTTACGTAGACAGCAGAATATAATAAGTATTGGAACATCTGCATGCTCATCAAGCCAACTCAGGCAAGCAGGTTATGAAAAGCCCCAAATCATCAGAAGTAAGTCTGCCTTAACTGCTAATGCTTGAATGTTTTGTGCACGACAGAATGTGCTGACTGAATACTCAAAGAATACTGTGGTTTTCACAGTAGAATGTAAGCACACACGACATGGCATTCAAATGCAGCTTTGGAAGTATTTGTAGAAATGACTGATCAATTTCATTGAGTTAATATAGCACATGTTTGTTTCAGGTATAGGAAAGGTTTTTGTTTTTTTTCTTTCTTTGTTTTTTTTTTGTTTTTGTTTTTTTGAGTCAACGCGCGGTGTTTGGTTGGATGCCTCATCATAATTTGCTACAAAAAATGCAACACATTGACACATCTTGTTATCAGCTGCAATGCTGTTTCGCTGTTATGGCTGCTTCCCTGTTCTTTGACTTCTGTTGTATAGTTCCCGATGTAGCAAGTCAAATAAGACCTCATTTAAAAAAAAAAAAAAAAAAAGAAACTACAGAAAAAAAGAACATGTTTGCTCTTTATCTGACCACTCATTTTGCATCTGCTGCTGTTTTGCATTGGTCCTTTTGCATTCCTTATAGAAAGGGTCATCCTAATTTCAGTCAGGAATGCAAAATGGCTTGGGTGAATTCGTTGAACCGTCTTTAGCAGTTGAGGTTATATTTTGCATAGAATTGCTGCAGTGTTGTGGTGTTGTATGGTCTTTTTGGTAATTTTATTCCACATAACCCATGTACCAGTTTTATTCCATTACATAATGTACATGCATCCATTTACTGAATGCTTTACAAGTTATCTCATGATTTACTTACTTCCACAGAGCTGCAGCTACATTATACTAAAGCGTGCATTTAATGTCATACTCTACCTGTATTTATTTTTCTGTTTGCCTTTTAGTGTAAGAATTCAGTGTAATATGTCATTGTTAATGATATGAAACTGTGCTGTGTTGAGTGTATACAGTTTATAGTGTGCCATAATGTGTTGCTCATAAGAGGTAAGTATGTGTATTACATATACTTTGGTGTTAGTGCATACTAGCTATATACAAAGTCATAAAACCAAAGTAAATAATTGTTCCCAACATTTAGCCAGTTTTTTATGATGTGTTCATATCCTGTTCTGCGTCTCCATTGTTTGGGGCTTCTTTTTCTCCCCCATAGGGATGCAGATCAGATGAGTTTATCATATGGTTCTAATGTTGCCTTACCCCCTTCCCCTTCTTTCTGCTCTTACCCCCTTCCCCTCTCCTCCGCAGGTCCAGGCCTGGCTTTCATTGCCTACCCTAAAGCTGTAACCATGATGCCTTTTCCTACACTCTGGGCAATCCTCTTCTTCATTATGCTGCTGCTGCTTGGCCTCGACAGTCAGGTTAGAGGAAAAACAAACTTTCACACATGGGTGACTGTTGGAGCTTCAGGAGGTTCGCCATAAAAGGAAATGCTGATGACACTTACAGGCGTCAGCTATTTTTAAGGTTCCCATAAGCAAAACATTTAACTGCTCATTGGCCAACCACAGAACCAAGTGTGTGAAGAAGCTTGTGCACAAATACAGTAGTGTTTGAAAAAGACTTTGGCTGGATATTTCGTGCTTTAAAATGTCTGTTTCTGTGCATAAATATAGACACAAAAAGTCATCAAATAGTATTCATTAATAGGTGAAATTAATAGGTGAACGACAACTGGAAAAAGATTTATATAAGATTATGTTTCAAATTCAGGAGAAACTGTTAAAAAACCCCACAACATTACATTACACAAACATTACTCTTTCAAGGTCATTTTTCTTTGAATCTTTGCACCACTCTGCAATAATCTTTATTATCAACAGACCGAGAACGTCTTTAACACCAATAAAACGTATGCAATCATGTGTATATATCCTTGCTATTGACCCCCTGTTGAGGTAGGCTACGATGCACATTTTAGTTGATGATTTTTTTTTCTTTTTTTAATATAGAAAATTTTTATTTTTCCTTTCCATATTCATTGTTATAATTATTTTCCTTGTTTTTGTTTTTATCAAAGCCACAGTAAGTGGGTGCATGATAGCACAGTGACGCACCACAACTGAGGTGGTTTGTGTGGTTGAATATTTGTCTTTAGACTCATAAGGGAATAACAATAGAACTACTTCTGCTTTTTACCTGAGTTCTAAGCTTAGACACTTTACACATTGTACCACAATTTCAAAAGAACCAACAATAACAACTCCGCTTCACCCACTCGTTAAAATGGCCACTGACTAGTCTGTGTTTGAAATTTTACACAGCCACGTCACATAGTGCTGCCAAACCTCAGCAACAAAAGTTGCACTGAAATATTTTGGATACTTATTAGTGCATTTATCCTTTTTGATTAATGCCACTGTATCTCTCGGTTCCCCTGCAGTTTGTGGAGGTGGAAGGGCAGATCACATCACTGGTGGATCTGTATCCGTCCTTCCTAAGGAAGGGTTACCGCAGAGAGGTCTTCATCGCTATTATCTGCTGCATCAGCTACGTGCTTGGACTCACCATGGTTACCAAGGTAACAACACAATAGAAAGTGAACACAAAAGAAAGCACCAGCAATCATGGCCAGAGCACTTTTAGAGCACTTAGAATCAGTGTAATCATTAGAAAATTATAAAACAGTCAAACTCTGATGTGTTGTGAATCACAAAAACAGTACTCGAACAGAAATGAATCACTCTGCAGTATTTCTCCACATGTTCACTACACCCACTGATAAATATACATACATGCATACATATGCACACTGTGGTTGCTGACCTCATTTCAGGCTCCATCTCCCAACTCAATACTCCAGGAAAAACAGTGTTCAGACAGCTATTAGTGTCGATCCCAAAAGAGATGACAGGGGGCTATTTATACTGTCAAGTCATGAGAACTTCCCTTCCCTCCTTTGATATTAATAGATATAGTAGACTTGATATAGCTCTTCTAAATCTCGTGCTTCCTCCTTCTTCTCTCTTGTTCCCGTCTGTTTCTTTTGTCTGTTGTTTTTCATCTCATTTAATTTCATCTTCCCTTTGCATTTACCTTGTTTGTAGCACCTATCTACAGTTTCCCTCAATGTTCTCTCATCCTCATCCTCCTTAAGCTTCATCTTAGCTGATTCTGTCTTTTTCACCTTTCTTTACTTGTACATAAGGCTCCTGGCAGTTCCTCATTATTGCAGTAATATCTGTAGAAGCACACCTTTCTCCTTCATTTGAAAAATGCAGCAGTCCTGATACAGCAGGTACCTGGTATTGTGTATATACTTTTACAATATGCCACATCCAGTATGCCATGGGCCATACTCATGAGAAATGTTTGACATGAAAAAATCAGGTAAAATGTTTAATTATGTTATGATATGAGATGGCAATCACTCATTTTCAAACCTGACTAGAAATTCTGAGTTACTTAATACAATCAGCCTGACAACTCCATTTTTTTGTTTAAATTGTTTTTTAATTACATATTTTGTTTTCTTGAACACGACCCTTGATAACCCAGTTCCACTTCTTTGTTTAACAAAACAGAAATCTATAATGACCAATTTTCCTTACACCAAAGGTGGGAAAAGCCCAATATTTTCTTGCTTTATTACTGCAAAGTAAGAAACACTTAAATGAGAATCTACAGGTCAGTAATTATACAAAGTGGGTTTTTTGTTTTGTTCTTCGGCAATCCTCGTACTTCGCTTTTTCTCCTACGATCAACATTTAAACATTATCTCTGTACTTACAACCTCCCATCACTGTTTTCTGCCCCAACCCGTGCTCCCTCCCCTCTTCTCCCCTTCTCTTTCACGCCCCCTCTTGTTCCCATGACAATATCTTTTTATGGCAGCACTGGCCTGATTTCAGTTCAGGATTCCCATGACTAACTTCTCACAATGGATAAACGTGTGCACACTCAAAGTACATGTGGACATTTTGGCTGCTCACTTTTACTCTGTATTTACCTTAGCATCCTATAATAGTCAAATTAGTACATGTATGATTAACAGTTTTTCATAGTTGAGTGTTCTTGTCACACTTGTCATTCTTACACCAACTGATTGCAAAGGAAAACCACTATTGTACTTATTGTAGTATAACCCCATACACTTAAAGCCACAGTAATGCTGGTATACAGGTCTTTCTGTTGTAAAGCATGGTAACAAGATGAAAACTGAAAATACCTGAAATGCACCTGGACAGAGGAGAATTTAAAAAAACAACAACAAAAAAACCAAACTTATTTTAAAACTAAGTCTGTGTTTTGTTTTGTGTTTCTGTTGTTGTTTTTTGCAGGGTGGCATGTATGTTTTCCAGCTGTTTGACTACTATGCAGCAAGCGGTGTGTGCCTTCTGTGGGTGGCATTCTTTGAATGTATAGCTGTTGCCTGGGTTTATGGTGAGTACTACATAAATAATACTTTTTTTTTTAATGGTTTTCTTATGAACACCAGTTAACATGACCTTGTGTTGTGTATTCAGACAACAAAAAGTTTACTGATAAAGTACCTAGTAATGTCTATTAATATCCTAGCTATTTGTGTGTACACTCTTTTGTTATAGAAGGTGACAGACAGACAGAAAAGTCCGCATAGACACCTCAAATCTATCTTGTCAGAAAAAATATACTTATTTCTGATCATGAATCTGCAAACAATTAATAAAGGATGAGGTTGTCTAAAAGTAAAATTTTCTAAATTATTTCCTGTCTGTAATCTGTGACATGTTAGTTACTTTGGCAGGTGTCTTTCATGCTGTTGGAATCCATAATTTTGGTTCAGTTTACACTGATAGGATTTGAGCCTTCAGATTTCTAATTTGTGGATGAGGCCTAATGTCATAGCATCTAAATTTTATTTTATTTAAATATTTATTTCTTTATCATTTTATCATAATTTCTTTATTTTTTTCAATTTAAAATAATGCTCTAAATTGGCTGAAGTGCTACAGCAATATGACAGTAACAGACTTCAGTAAGAATTCAGCTGCAGTACTTCACAACAGTTAGGAGGCAAGCCAATTGAATATTTTATCTCCACAGGCGTTGATAATTTCTATGATGCGATTGAGGACATGATTGGCTACAGACCAAATCCTTGGATGAAATGGAGCTGGACTGTGGTCACTCCTTTACTGTGTATGGTAAGGACTGTTGTTTCATCAATCAGATAATCAATTAAACTTGTTCTCATTTCTGAGAAATAATTTCAACTTTTTTCCTCTGAATTAACAATCGACAACTTTTTATTCACTGAAAATTGTACTAGTGTCATCATGAGCTTTTCTTACATATAGTTTAGAGATATTTCACCACGTTATACGTTATGCTTTGGGTATAACACAGTAATTTATTTATTATTTATTACCAAATACCCAGATACAAAATAATTAAAAATACATTTAAAAAAACGTACACTTCTGCTCCTTTCCAATCCAGGGTTGCTTTATCTTCTCTTTGGTCAAATACAAGCCATTGACGTACAACAAGATGTACCAGTATCCTGACTGGGCCATTGGAGTAGGGTGGACTTTGGCCTTGGCTTCTATGATCTGCATCCCCATGGTGGTTGTCATCAAGATCATTCGATCTGATGGGCCGCTCATTGAGGTGGGTGCCTGGCTGTTAACTGTTTAGCTCTTCTCTTTCTTCTCTATTATTCATCACTTCACTTTTAGTGGAATTAATGGAATCTTTTAGATTGTAATTCAGTTACAATCTGTCTGACATATCCTGACATCTTTTCATAAGAGTTTGCTCATCAGTTGTCCTTTCTACTTTCCCTATAACTTGACCATTTCTTACCTTCAGTTTTCTAATCCCACCTTTCTCCCCACAGAGGATTAAGGCAGTGGCAGCCCCGGTTCGTGGTGGAGCCAGCTCCCGTCCTGCAGACCACCGTGGGCCTAAGGAGCTCTCCTGTCCCCTGGACCCCAATGGGAACAAGGGCCTACTGATGAAGGCCCCCACTCACACCATCGTAGAAACCATGATGTAAAGGAATGAGGCGGAGGCTCTCCATGAGATCGCTCTCCTCCCCTCTCCTGTCCTCTAAAATGCTTTTAAAGCTAGCTAGCTTTCTGTCTATCTGTCTGTCTTTGTCTGTCTGGTGGACTGATAAGGGTTTTAAAGAAAAAGTTCAAATCTTTTAGGAAAGTTTTGAAAGTAGTTTGCTGTTGGTGGTCTTCATAAGAGGGTAACAGTCACATTTCAAATCTATTTCTGAATGACTTAAAAACTGTTTTGTTTTTTATTTTTCCGTATAAATAGTTTTCATGTGACTACACGTCCCACTGTGTTCTTGCTTTAAAGGCAAGGTGGCAAATTAGAAACAGCCAGCGGCCATGTTTCACTGGCTACTTTTGCACATAACCAGCCATTATTCTAGAAGAAAGTGGTTATTGAGTCTTGGAATCAAATCATCTTTTGTAGCCACTATATACAGAGAATTCCTACAATAGGCACTGATCACCAAAAAATTTTTTTTTTTTTTTTTTTGAGCTGCTTTGATGGATATTTTATTATTATAATAATAATAATAATAATAATAATAGTAATAATTATTATTTGCCAGTTATACTATGATCATCGTATAGTTCTCTGAGGGCATGTGCCACAGGATTACGCTTTGGCATATTCTGTTCCATTATGTTCGGCAGAGGCCTTGTTGATATCAGAGTTATTAGCTTTTTTGCCGAAATATCAAAAACGCAACTCTGCAGACACCAGCGTTAAATGGCTTATCACTGCCGGCTCTTTTCCCCTTGTAATCATAGATTTTAAAATATCAGCAACAATGAGCTTACCACATATTTGGGTTAGTGTTACAAAATATGAATAAAAACAAATAAAATCAATTTCAGCATAAACCAAAACCAAATCAAATTATAATCAGTGACATTTTTTTAAGTTAATATCTAATCATAATGATGAAAACAGAATCCTCTGAATTCACCTTGTGCCCAAATATTCTCATCTTTCACAGTCAAACAATGGGCCAAAGAGAAAACTAGCACTGAAACTGAATTGGGGAACTTTTTTTTTTTTTTTCCCTGCACAAAGAGAGATATCTGAAAGGATTTGAAGTGTGGAGGTTCAACCCTTGACTGTGTTGTTTGTGACGTACTGTACAGTAGTGGCTAATCAGTCTATCAGTATCTATCTCTTTATCTATCTTTCTCTGTTCTAGACCAGTTTACAGTACATTAGTGACTGCACTAGGCACTCTTGGCTTAAAAGTTTGGATTGAATTTGTTTTATTTACTACAAAGGAAGACACATTATTATTATTATTATTATTATTATTATTATTAGTTCTTTTTTCCTCTGTCAGTGTTTAGATTTTTTTTAATTAATGTTATTGATATTTACTATTGAATTGCTGTAGTTTTATATAGAAGGAGGAACACTTTCATCTGGTGAAAATACTAAGCTATTATTACAAACCATACATCTATATTGGCAGCCATTGTAGTAAAGTCTTTAAATTTCTTGAGCTTTGGTCCTAGCAACAGTTGTCTTAGGCATCATAGAAATAAACAATGCAACTGTTTCCCCAAATATTATCTCTTACAGAGGGGTGTGGGCCAATTTTTATACATACAAAAAGAATTGGAAACCTGCAATGGCTCCAGTCATAAGTTTGTAATTCTTGGGTTTTTAACTTTTCCTCTTCTGGAAATACCAGGACACAGTATTTATATGAAAGAAATCTAGCTAGGCAGGACACTACAACCAGTGGTTAAACAAAATTTCAGTAACTCAAATGACTCACATTAACCAATGGTTGGAAGAGACTCCCAGTAGATAAACCAGTGTCTGACTGTCAGTTCATTTCAGACACTGAAATTTGGCAGATGGCTGAGTTTGGTCTTTTCTGGGGTCTCCATGTTGCTTGCTCTCACTTCAACTGAGACCTGAAAAGCTTCACTTTTAACAGCAACTGTTCAAACCTGTCTTTTCCCCATAAATGAATACAGATAATATAAATATAGTTTTGGATTAATTATGTCACACGTGTTGCAGTAGAATGCCCTTGGCACTTTTTTTTGTTCAATTTTCATGCACACCAGTGAAACTAGTGATACCCAGACCCCATTAACCCTGTGATGGATGAACTCTGTCTTGAACTCTGTTTGATTTTAGCAATCATGCATGAAAAACTACATTCATCTTGTTAACATAGGGGCCATACTTTTGATTATGTGAATAGCTGGCAACCAAGAGCAGACTACGTGAGAGATATAACATTTACAACAGTTATGTTCATTTTATTATATCTGTGTAACAAAGGGTTTCTCATGTGTATGCGTCACCAGCGACCATCCACTCAGGATCTTCTTTGTAATGCTTTTGTCTACTGTACAGCTGCATTAACCCAGCATCCAAAAAAAGACACTTAACTCTGGGTGACAGAGCTACATTGGTAGCAATTGAAACTAATGTTTTCATCCAGCTTGGTAAGCCATTAGATCCTTCTTTGCTACAGAGAGATGAAAATCACACCATAACTGCCTATTTTAACCACAGTCAAATATGAAAAACAGTTACTTGACATAAGGCTATATTGCACTTTTTTCATTTTAATCCTTTTGATTTCATATCAAACAATGAGGCCAAAAAATATGTATTGCCTTCTTTTTATTCTGGGCTCTCAGGGGCCTCTCCAGTAAAATTGGTACATTTTCAAAACACTCTAGTCTCACTTTGGTTCTGAAATAAGCAAAAAAAAATAAAAAATTGAAATTAGATCAAGATGCACACATTACACAGTTATACAGTACACATGCATTGCAGGATTTTCATCAACAGCTTCACATGAGAGGTGATAGTGAGACCAGGGCCTCGTTTTCATTTCATTTCCTGGCTCTTGTTTCATTTAAGCTTTGAGAACTTTGTGTCCATTTATTTAATTCCTTCAAATAGAATAAAGTAGTTGATATCATTAAAAGGGATTTGTGAAACCAAATCCATCAGGCATCTATTTTCATACAACTTTTCATATATAAGTCTTCTTTGTATAGCTCAGCTCCCGTTTCCCCACTCCCATTTTAATACAGATACAATGCTTTGTTCTATTATTACACTTTTGTATAGATCTGGTTCTCAGTTTCTCTGAAAAATCTTTGCACTAAGGTTTTAAAAATGCAATTAATTATCTAAGGAAAGATCTGCAATTGCAGTTTAATTTGCTCAGATGTGTTGAATATTAAATGAAATTCAAACTTGCCAACAAAAAGGTATATAGAAAAAAAAATGCCTTAAGCATTGAAAATAAGGCTGAATATTTCTTAGTGCTAAAATTGCTTCAGGGAAATGTGGACTAATAATAACTAATGCAGTCATTTATTGAATTATGCTTCCCCTCAGTGTATATTTACAGTATGTACCTGCTATCCTGCCTTCATACACTCCCTATCAGTTAGCCTATGTAAAACATCTGTTAACATAAGCTAACTAATTCTCAAAGATCATGACTTTTCAATAGAACTAAAGCATTAGCGATGCACAAGTTTTTACTGACGGATGTTGAAATGTGAAAGTCACCTGCAGGTGAACGTAAAAAGTTTCTGAAGATTTTTTTTTTTTTCATTTAAAAAGTCATTTATTTTTATTTTATACTGATCTTTGTCAAATTCTGCAGTTTCTCATTCTGTTTTATTTTAGATTGTCTGTTTGTCACATTTGCCTTTTTTATATTTCAGATAGATTTGCATATTTGTCACTGGAGTGACATGTACAAATATTAATCAAAAAGCAAACATAAAAAAAACAACAACTTATGACTTGTTGTGCAATACTGCAAAATATTTTTTAGTACCAACAGGTGGTACTAACCTTTAAGTAAGACGTAATTTCCTGAAGAGTAAATATTTGAATCTCCAGTTAAACTAAAACCCAACAAAGAATCCTTTGTAGTTTGGAAAGTTAACCAAACTAAACCACTATCCACAGTCTTGTCATTTGAAATGCACTGATTAAATATGTGTCACATCAAACTGAATTTTGTTTTAGCAAAATATCGTATTTTTGTGACTGATAAAGGTATGAATGCGTGAGGGGTATGAAACACAGTAGCACTGCCACTAAGCCCATTTTCTACCTACTTATATCAAAATCTCGTG